AAAATGCGAAATAATTTTTACAATAGGAAGGAAGGAAACATACCAAAACAGCTTCCGTTTTTGGTAAAATTTTTTATAAAATTTGATTTTGTTTTATGTGCAGATCCTTGTAGCAACCAGAAACGATTTTATGCTACAAGTTTGCAGGAAGTTGCCAAGGATATGCTAAAGTGGCAGTAACAGTTTTCATGGAAATGATGTTTAAGCAAATGTTTTTTGGCAATCAACTAAAATGCTAATCCAAATATGAACTTAGCTTTTGCTTGCAACAAAAAATCTGTTATGGCCAAAGACAAAGAGGCAAAATGACATTAAAACGAAGAGCAACTTCAAGTTTTCATAGCAATTCCAAAATGGAAATGGAAGGAAAGACTTTTGATTAAAGCAAAACTGTACGGATTAATCTGAAAAACAATTTTAAGAATCTTCAACAAAACAAATTAAAAAAGTTAACATTTTGAAATGGTAAAGACCGTAAAATTATTTTAATAAAAATAATTAAATAGGTGCCACCTACCAATGAATAAAACGAAACTATTATGCATTTATGTATCTACAATAAGGCTAAGTGCCAAGTTCGCAAAAACCATTTGGTGATTCTTTTCATATTTACAATATTATTATCGCTTATAGTAATTGTTATAGTAATTTGATTATTATTTTATTAGGAACTCCTATTTTTTAGATTTTTTGTCAATTGTTTATATTTATTTTGATATAAAAGTAAATATATTGAACGGCTTAGCGCTTGTTTGACTTTAAATTGCAAAAACGCTGTGGTGGTTCTGGCTTCTCTCATCTTAACCATAAGAAATAGTACATTTTAATAAAACTACTAAATAATCAACGAAAATATAAATTTATTTGTTGTTTATCTTAAAAAGATGGCATGGTTTAAATACCATCAATTCCCACTGTCACCAGAATTATGTGCCCAACTCTCTAACATGGTTGCATAAGATATAGGGACTAAAACACTCCCGCTTCATCGAAACTCAATCTCCCGGACCGCTTTTACATTACTTAAAGATGATACTTAATATGGATGTACTTTTTAGATCTGCGTCTGGACTTCGTGTGATTCGTTTTTGAAAGCACCTTACAATATAGAGCCTTAAGCATAGGTAATTTTCTTTTCAGAAGTTCAAGAAGTGGTTTGCTTAAAAATAGAAGTAAAGAAGTAGTCCAATAGAAGTAGAAGTAGAAGTAGAAGTAGTCCAATATGATCAAGTTCACACGGATAAACTTTGCTTGATACTTAAAGTTAGAAACCTACACTAAACAACATATCTTTTACTACATTTGATAAAGATTATAGAATAGTACATAAGATTTTATATGACATTATAACTAATCCATTTCATATATGCTGACTAATACAGGCGTTCAAAATATACTATACCTCGTCAGCCAGGTACTGTCTGTCAAAATAGTTATTAGTCCAATAACCGCAAAAGATCACTTCCCAAATTGCATACGCCAAGAATCAAAAATTACGTCAAATACGTCAAAAATTACTTCTCAGATTGAATAGATCAACAACTGCAAGAGGTCACTTCACAGGTTACACTGGTCAAGAACCAGAAAAAGTTTCTTCTCTGATTGCACAGGTCAAGAACCGCTGTAGATCACTTCTTAAATTGTAGAGAAATACTAAAGAAGTGTATACGCGTTTGCTTAATTTTCAGTTTATGCAGCGCACTTATTTACTTGAAATCCCTCTAGCTTATGAACTGATGCGATGAAACCTATTTAAAAGAGAATTGTTAGTATCTATTATTATTTTAAGATTTCATCTTTTAATACTTCTAAAAAAGTTATTTTAATTACATAAAGCATAGTAAGCTTGAAAGGCCTAAAACTCTATTGTCTACTGTAACGCAGCTGATTTTAAAAAAATATTTTTTTTATAATAAAATTCTTTCAAGCGGTTTTATATATGAAATTTATGACAAATTTTTGTATGAATTATTGAATATTATTTTGTGTGATATGTGAATCCAATTCAATTTAAAATTTTTTTAAATATTTTTCAAGTATTTTTCACAAGCGTTGAAATATATTAATAATTTCCACAGCTTCGACAATCAAATTACGTTCATGAAATAAACCAAACACATACTCAAAATTCGGTACGTAGTTCCAAAATATTTATGGCAGCCCAAAACTAATATTTGCCTTAATTGATCTCCAACGTTGGGTGTGCAACATTCATTTTCCCATTGACACATTATTAATTTGCCACACTGCAGCAATAATAGTAATTGGGCAGCTAGACTGCATCATTTGAAGTCAACATCGTTGCATGCAGCCATGCCTTTTGTGTCATTTGGCTAATGACTAACCAAAGTTGGCAACAGTTGCAGCCCAAAGGGCAAGGATGGCCGATATAATTTATGCTTGTATACAAGGAATATTTGTGGCTACTATTCCGACCACTAGGTAAACGTCATTGGCTGCTGCATTGGCAGCCTGCAACTTGCGGTTAGGATAAAGCAAATATTATTTGCATTGGGCTTTGCAATGACTTCGGCTATGGATTTGGAAAGGACGTGTCTACAATATTTAGATGAGGATTAGATATTTGTTTTATGCGCTTTTATTGCAATTGATCAATACGTCAAACCATATTGGCTGTTAATTAAGTCAGTTTGCATATGCAATTTTTGGCTGCTTGAATATTGAATTGTGTAAAGTTGCATTGCAGTGCAGCAAATAAATTAGGTCATGCTTGGGAGTGCATATTAAAGTAAGTTGAATGGTAATGGACAGAAAAAAAAATAAAGCTACCAATAAAATATGGGTCAAGTATAAAGACGGCATATGGCAATAAAATGGCTTTTGATACTTTGCAGAAGCAAAAATATTGTTTTCACAATGACAAAAACCTTCATGTATTATTGCACACAGGTTGCTGCTTTTGTTGTTATTGTTGTTGTTGACATGGTCTTACAATGGGATTCAATGAAATCCTACAACAATAGCAATGTCCTCAAACGTATACACGTAGTCGCATGAGGCTCTGCATGTAGGAATGCTTGCACTTCTCATACGTATAAATTTTAAAATAATTTAAAAATTCATGAATGTAACAAAGAAAGGAAATAAAACTGTTTGCAAATGGAGCAGGACTTTGTGGCATCACCATACTGCAAACAAAATCTATAAAAACTTACTCTATTATATATGAAAAAGAGAACAGAACACAACAGTACAGAACCGAACCAAACCAAACCAAACCGAACCGAACACTAAAGTAAAGGTAAAGTAACCGTGGTTACAATAAAGCAACTCAATCGCATGTGTTTCACAGTGCTTGGGAGCGTCAGCTGACAATGCTTTCGGATTAAACTTCATATCCTGCGTTCGCGACTCTGAATCACATATATAGCAACGCTTACCAGTATGCAACCAACTGCAGTGGATTTCAATGGTGAGTGATATACGGTACCGTTCGCAGTTGTGCATATCACCATAACTGCTCACTAACATGTTTGTGTTTCCCATGAATACCTTAAGGATATTTTTCTAACACAATTTACAGAAAGTTCACTTTCATAGCTGACATCGTTCCAACATATGAGACCGCCAACTCGCTTCATGTACTCATCGCTGATACCCTTAAATTAAATCTGTTCTCCATTGTTGTATAATATAGAAAAGTTTGCTCCTTTGGTTTCCTATGTAAGGTCTTCAATGCAAATTTTTCATTTTATTCTGCAAAGTTGGGTTTGGTGTTTGCATTTTAATGAAACCTGGCGTACTTGAAACGAACGATGAGTTTGTCCTTAAATCGTTATTAAAATTTATAAGTCGGAGTTTATGCTAAATCTATTTGGTATAAAATTTGTTTAATTGCTGCAAAACTATTAAATATTCTCTATAATACAAGGTATGCATTTAAAATAATTATTTTATTCTAATGTATAAGTTTGAGACATGAGAAATATTTTAAAGGAACTACCCTTTATAGATGTTTTTCTATATTTTCTATATAAACTCACAGATTACTAAATTTAAAGAATTCAAAATGTAATATAGTTCAAAAATGTAACATAGACTTCTCCCGCTCTTTGTTTGGCTATTTTGTTACGTTTCAAAAAAATATAAAAATAACTGAAACATAACTTGAAGGATTTTACCAGGTTCTCAAGTAGTATTGCTTTCTCCTCTTTTGTACCTAACAATTGATAGCGATATAGAGAATTAACTCGCAGTTCAGTTTTGTGATAGTTTGTAAACACTATTACTTTGGTAATGTGAAAGAGTTGGTAGTTACATCAAGTATATAGACGTAATACAGTCTTCTGCCACTCTCTGTTGAGTTGATATATTTAATTTAAGTTTCCTTTAAAGAAATGCTAAACTTATTCAAAGGATCTTACCGATTCTAAGATTACCTGTTTCTAAACTTATTTAAGAACTTACCTGGTTCTAAGTAAATATGGCTTTCTTCTCTCCTTTACCTGAGTTTTGATGGCGATTTATGGAAACAGTTTACAAAAGTTAACGATTCTACAATGACAATAATAATTAAATATATAGCGTTTTATAGCTCTTTGTTTAGTTGAAGTATTAAATTTAAAGAAACTTTAAGGTATAAAAAGCCTACTTAAAGGACCTTACCTGGTTCTAAATAAATATGAGTTTTTTTGCGTCACCGTATCTGATAGCGGTAAATGGAAGTAGCTATCATTTTAGTAAAATGTGCAGATATCAATGGCCATATATATGTGTTCTTTCACTCTTTACTATATATTATGTTAGGTTTGATGTAAACTTTAATACCTATAACCATAATTTACCTAAAAAACCTTACCTGACTTCAAAGAAATATGATTCGATCCTCTCCTCTAACAGAATCCTTGCTGGCGATTTGAGGTAATTATATTATTATTTTATGTAGGTAGGTCTAATATGAATTATTTTTACTGGTTATTTTTAGTTTGTCTGAAAATTTTGATTGAGTTATGCCAATTGCAATAATATTTTTAAAAAATAAAAGTGCCTCAAAAATTACAAGTGAATTCTAAATGTATTCTAGTTAAAAAAAAAAATTGTTTAAATATATCATAAAATATTATATTTTTAATTTAATTTCATATAAACTAGAAAAGCATGGCAAGCATATAAAATATTCATTTATTCTTATGAATGCATTTAATATATTTTCTATTCAAATTTAATTTTATTGCTAATTTGTTTTAGTAATATTAAAACATTTTTTTGAGCTGATAATCATAGAAATAAGTAGTCTTTATTTAGGTTAGCTATAGGTCACTAGAAAACGGCGTACTTAATCGAGGAGCGGGACCAACTGTAATAGTGTGGCCAAGATATTAGTTTATAATAAAATCTGAGAGCATGGTGTTTCACGACCCGCTTCATAAAAAGGGGAACCATTTGTGGAACTATTAAGCAGTTGAATAATCCTTTAAAATAGAAAGGAAAAAGTGGAAAAAGTGAAACTTGGGTGATTGTATGTAAAATACAAACTTGTTCTTTTTTATTTTGATATTTGGTATATCAAAACCGTGAAATCTTTCCAACCTTTTTATATCCAAACGATTAGATCTCGAATATATTACTGACATGTTTACTGATCGTTTCCAAATAATTTTTACTATTAGCCATATAACGATAATATGAAGAAAAAGTAACAGTTAGAAAGAAAAGTACTGGAAGATGGATCATTATAAGATGAAGACTAAGAAGAAACGAAATTTACACATTTGATCCATGCGCAGGATTTCTATTTTAGAGATACTTTAATATATCCAAGAGTTGTATGATGTATAAAAGAAGGAGTTTCATCCTTTATGTAAGAAATTATTTTTTGTGTAATAAATTTTATGCTTATTTTATATCAATGGGTACTAATCCTATTCCAAAACGAGTAGTAACTGTTTGACTGTTTTATAAAATCTTCAGAAATATATGGAATATTTATATGAGACCTTTTTAGTTTCAAATATGTATATTCTCAGATATCGTAGAATTGCAATATTGTTGAATTTAACTACTGAGCATCCTCATTTTTTAAAGTGGTATATAGACTGTAATGAGATTTACATTTGTTGACCTTTATCCACCAATTAAACAAGCTATCGTCTATAAAATTGAAGACTTTTAAAGATTTATAAAAATAAGATGTAAGTTAAGATTAATTTATAAGATTTCAAAATAGATTGCCTAGTGTTATAACAATATAGTTTCAAATAGTCTTTGTTCAGCTATTATATTGTAGAGAAGTATTATATTGTATTATATATATATATAACGATAATATTTTTAGTTGTTGAATGATATTATATGGTAAGAGAACTTCATTGTGTGTTAACAATACAATAAAATAATTAGAATATTCAGAATTCATGTGAGTTTTACATAGATTATTCAATTTTACCAATAAATTACAAAATTTAATCAATAAATCACAAAATATTAATCTGTCATAATATTAAAGACATTATTCGATAAAAATCTGAACCTTTTTTTTATCATTTATAATGGCAAGAATAAAATTTTTTTGAAAAAAGTACAATAACACCAATTCATTCGAATCTGATTAAACTTCTTTTTACTTTTACACATATTTCTAACAATAAAATACTTTCACTGTATTTACGAGCTCTTAGATGTAATTGAACAATTTTTTAAAATTTTTAGTACAACAACAGAGCACAATTTAGTAACTTAACCACAAAAACCCATTTAAAAGTGAAATACATTTAGAAACACAATCAGCTTTAATGTCGATTGTCGTTGCCAATGGCCTAAGTTTTATTGCCGTATCCACAGCCATTGTCCTTAGTGCCTTAAAATATCGTTAGTTATACGCTGAGCTGAACCGATGTGAACCTAACTGAACCATTTAAAGCCGATATGTACCTAAAAAATACATAGTTCAGACTTAACCAAAGCGATAAAGCGTATTTTAACGTTTAGGGATAAATACCAGACAATCCTTTTCGGCCAGGTGAAAGCATATTTGTATCGTCGCTATATTGGTGTCGTTCTCAAAGTGCGATAAATTGTTATTGCACTGCCGCCATTAAGGACACACGAGTATATGGCATTTATATGAGTTTTTAGTGGAAAACAAGAATCCTTTAATTTATTACGACGAACACAAACACACAAAAATGAGCATAAATTAGAAAACGCATAGCTTACGACACAAAAAGAAAGGTTAACCGGCGAGTGTTCAACATTTGTCGCATGGTGGCTCCGGAGATAGTCGAATGCACACCCAAAAAAGCACAATAAGGACACGGTCGAAATGGAATTTTCGGTAGGTGTGACTACGGCGATGTTAGAGTAGCGCACAGCTTAAAGCAGATAAAATGCTTTGATTTACACTTCCCCACTCTAATTTTTTCTTCGTGCCTTTGTGCCTTCTTGTAAATATATATATAAATATATATAGATATATATACCTTTTGTGGTAATCTGTACTGTAACTGTGTTGAGGGTTAATTTATTATATATCAAGTTAATCGGATCCGTGTTTTATGTACCACACCAGATACAAGCGACAAGTAAAATGAGTTAATTAAATTTTATCATTTGAAATAAATTTTAAAATCTGTTAGGATATAATAATTAGGAACGAAAGACTTAATCAGCTATTAAATAAGTTATAAGGCAGCTCGTAGAGAGAATAAATGCCGAGGATTAGTGTGTTTGAATTGAAGTATGTTATTTAATTTAAAACCACTTAAAAAAAAACTAATTTCTTTTCTTAATGTATTATTGTAGTGTATTTCAGGCAGAAGTATTTGCTGTTACAAAATCGGCAGAATTTATATGCTTAAAAGAAACAACTAACTGTACAATAGACGTCTTTGTAAACCACCCTTCATCCATCTTTAGAAACCATTCAATAGTGCAAGACAGCAATAGACAAATTGGCAAATAGAAGAGGGGTGAGTATAGGTATATTAAGTTGATGGCCGTAAAAGCATAGCGAAGATTAAGGTGTAAATTAAGTACCTGTAAAGTCCCTGGGTTCATATGCAAACACATATTTCACGGAAGATATACCAAATATATATCGAATGAGATACCGAATCTGATTTGGTGTTTTAATATATTAATTGTATGGTTGCTTCGCATACCCAGCAGGAAGACAGCACCAGCAGTAACGAAAAGAATACATGAAAAAATCGTGCATTATTTCCTCGAATATCTGTTAGTTTGCGATACTTTCCAAAGGTTAGACTAAATTCTTTCCAGAAAAATCTTAGCACATCTTTATAATTCTAAAGTTCATCCTTCCGCGCCATATAGAAGCACAAGAAACTCCAATTAAAGTACTTAACCTCTATTGGTCAGGACAGCCGAAGATTTTGGCTATGACACCCATGGTATCAGACTTACGCCTTAGGTCCGGTGCCATAAGTACTACTCACTACAATTTATACTTCCTATGACAAACATACCTCATCTCGAAAGTTTGTAGGCCTTCTATCCTGAAAAGGAAACTAATGATATACACATTTAAAGTAGTGTTTAGCATCATTAACATACTCTAAGGTCTTTAATCTAGTATCTGGACCTAATAGCGGTCTTTACGTAGACTTAGCCAGCCAACTCTATCTAGCAATACATTCTTTAATTAGACATATAATTTTATTGACATGTGTTATATTTACTCACTAATTAAGACTTTGAGATTAAACTTTTCAAACGAGTAACTTCGTCATTTTTAAATAATAAAATTGTAAATTTTTTTATTATTTTTAAATTTAATTAAAATTAAATTGTTAATTATTAAATTTGTAAATTAGTTATATGCTACAAGACCCAAGCAGGAGCTATGTCAGGAGATGACCTTTGCAACATCCATCACATTTGTTTCTTAACAGATGACCTCATTTTTGATACCATTGGTACCATTGCTACCATTTTCCAGTGATGAATCGAGGACTATGTATTTTTACAATACAGCTGCCTTCAACTCTTTAAATTTCCTTTAACTTCGATATTATATCTCAAATTGAAATTTTTTTGTAAGTAACTTTAAACTCTTAAAGTATGATAACCCATTTTCAGACAATGTCCCACTTTTAAATTATTCATACTCATAAAACACTTAACTTCTTAACAATATTAATCATTCTTGTTTTGAAATAAGGTCAACACCTATAGAAAACTTTAAAAGAGAGGGTGTGCTATACAAAATAATGCACAACTTCTCAAATGTAATGCCAAAGATTTACAATAAGAAATTGAATTTCACACGGAAACAATGATTTCACTGCAAAGTTGTGCGAATATGGAACAAATACCGATAGCACCTTGCACCATTTGCGACTCCATCAAACTAAACTGCAAGAACAATAGGAACACCAACAACGGAGGTAATATGCAAAAGGGTACCAGGATGTGGCGCCTTCAGGATAATGTCGATGTCGAAACACCAAATGCGTTAGAACAACCAAAACTTTAGAAAATTATTTTCAAGTTTCGCAAAAGGAAAAACGTACACGGAGCGAAATGTCAAACGCACAATGGGGGAAAAGGGGAAAAACAAAAAGTATTAGAACAAAGAAGTACGGGACACACACAAAAAAATAGGTTGTCGAAACGCTTGGCAAGATTTATGGTACATTCATTACTATCGGAAATTAAGAACATAGATTACATAGTCAGCGAAAGCCCACACGCAACCTAGCAACGCGTCAATAAAACGTAAGTTGCTGCTTTGTTTGTAGCAATAAATAGGATTGTTTCTTCACAGATGCCAGTCACGTCCGCTGGCGCAACATGGGATTTGTTGCGGATTCGATAATGCTTAACAGCGTGGCATGCGATTTTTCCTGCTGTTGAGCATTTTTAAACTTCTGCAAATTAAATTTAAAGTGACGCCCATATATCATAACAAATCAAGCTCGGAACTGCTCATATGTGCCATGTGCGAGTTGTCCTTGCGCTCATTTGCATACTCACGTGGCACGTGCCTTCAGCGCGCCACCACATGCGGTCTTAGTTCGTGTTTCTGCCTTAAGTCAGATTTTGGGTTAAATAAGCCTTGAAATGCAAGTTAT